TGACTTCTGCGCATTGTGCACTTCAGCATGCGCTGTCCCCACTCTGTCATTTTACATGGCCTACCACTTCATGGGTGAGTTGCTGTTGTTCTCAATTGCTTCCACTTTGTTATAACACCACTAACAATTGACCGTGGAATATTGAGTAGCAAGGAAATTGCACGGATATGTGGCAACCTATCACGTTACCACACTTGAATTCACTGAGCTCCTGTGAACGACCCATTCTTTCACAAATGTTTGCAGAAGCAGTCTGCATGCCTAGGTACTTGATTTTATACACCTGCGGCCATGTAGGTGATTGGAACCCCTGAATACAATATTTTGGAGGTGTGTCCCAATACTTTAGGCAACATAGCGTACTTCACTATCTATTTACTAATGCTAGCAGCATAAGGATTCAAAACAGTCAATGTTAATAGAGAGAGTGAAGCTCCAGGCAGATAATGCATTAAATATACGGCAGGTACGGGCATAATCACGTACATGTATGTGATTGGCCTTCTTCCAGGTTTGGGGAGCGCATACATGTGCCCCTTGCTCATTCATGCTGTGATTGGACACAGCATGAGTTTGGCAGCTGATTTCAGTCAATGATTTCAGCTGAAATAAGATGATTGCCACTGTCCAGTCACACACAGAGTTCTGTGTATACAAAACACAGAACTCTGCATACACAGAACAGGGATCTGGCTGTTTCATCTCCCTGAAAAGCAGGGAGAAAAAGCAGCAAGATAGTAATGTAAAAGCAGCACACATGACACCTTGCTAGGCACACAGATAAACCTTTGATTGATTTTAAATGTTAACCCCATCCCAGCCAGTGTCATTAGTACAGTGACAGTGTACAGTATCAGCACTGATCACTGTGTTAGTGTCAGTATTGATGTCAGTTTCAACTAGTCCTATAAATGTGTATATAGACCGTGCTGCCAAAAATGTGAATCAAGATTACTAAACAGTTTGCCACATGTAAAAGTGCAAAAAATAGATAAAAAAATTAAACAACACCAGAAAATCCAACTAATGTCCAATGTATCAGTAAGTTCCATTCAAATAATAGTTGCTTACAAACCAAAAGATATCTGAACAGGTGCTGGTGCTATTAGTAACATAAACAAGTGACCACTTCCCATGCACATGGTAACCCCACATGGATTTACACTCACTGCAATGGATGGACCTTCTATTACTAGACAGGTCTCACTGCGCTTTTATGGTTGGACCCACTTTGTCTTGTCACTAACTTGACTATTTATATGTACCAGGATGTGATTCCTTCCAATTCAATAAACCCCCACTCAAAAAACAGTGCATGAGTCAAAAATTCCATACCAGACCCTTATCTGAGCGTTCACCTCCCCACCCTATACAGTACCAAGCCACATGTCCTCAACAGGCCAAAACCCATGTTGATGAGGACAAGAGCCTCTTCCTCACAACCCTATCAGAATCTGGAAGCCCCTTTTAACAATAAGGGGGCTCCCAGATATTGCTACCCCTATATATTCACAAAACAAATGTAAACAGTAAAAATTTTGACAAAGCCTTTTTTTAAAAACATGTTTAAGTCAGAAAAATACTTAAAACACCCAAAACATTATATATTTTCTGAAACCAGAGACCCTGGAGAATAAAATGGTGGTAGTGACATATTTGTATGGCACGTGATATTATCCCAATGGTTTATCAAGTGCAAAATATCAGTAAAAAAATGCACTAAAGGTAATTTTAGAGCAGACAAATGCAATGCATTACCTGATTTTTTGGTAAAATATAAACAATGAAATTGCAAGAGTAAATAGATACCCAACATGTTAGGCCTTAAAATTGCACATGCCCGTGAAACAGTGACACACTCCAGTACACTAAATTTGCCACAGGCAATGCTTTAAAAGCCCATGCAGAGTATCAGTTTTAGGGTTATGCATGAATAATTGCCTTAGAATTATTGCTTACAATCTGCCGTGCATGGCGCAAACTTTATTTTTTATCACAAAGGGGGACAAAAAGTCCCCTGATACTTTTGTGACCGGTTTTCTTTAATGGGACATCAGGGGTCAATAAAAGTGAGGCAGATCCTGGTGCTCGGCCCAAACAGCCTATTCACTAATTGTGCCTTCAGAGACAGGGCGAGAGTAGATGCAAATGGCAGCAGATAAGGACTCCACAGCTAGATTAACTAGAACTTGGTTCAGAACATGACCCACATGGAACCCAACACAAGTTATTTCTAAGCTAGCCCACACAACATCCAGTCCAATAGGGACTAGATGTACTATGGTCCAAAAGCCAGGATGGGGATGACCACAACTGATAGCTGCAGCTTAGAAGGGAGCCTCCAGCAGAATTAAAAAGTAACTAGTAAAAGACTGAGGCTGATTGTATTAGAGGTTATACACTGGGCTGATCTATAGTTTTTATTTTTGCCAGTTCTCAATTCTCTGGTAGTTGACAGCATAAGGTTTGAAACTTTCTGTTCTCCTAAACCTAAAATGTTACTAAACCCAGGATCCTGTATTCACTATATCTGGTCTTCCACAGTGCACACAACATGGAAGTGCAATTATTTTAGTAAATATAAACTGCTAAATATCTTTTCACATCAGCAGTTAGAGCAGTTTTGTGACTCTATCAGTGTCCAGCAGAGCATATATTAAAGCTGGTAGGAGGAGTTTTCATTTTTCTCTAGGAGGATGCAGGACCCTTGACCTCTGTCTGGACAGAGCCGATTGGCCCTGAGCTGATCACATGCACTCTCCCAAGAAAAAAAACCTCTCTAGCAATACACACCAAACTGAGCATATGCAGAGTGTCTCCACATGATATGTTTTATCAAGAGATAAGAAGGCGACACTGGAAGAAGGGAAGGATTAGAGAAGACAGGATCAGACAGCATTTTTACACAAAGCAGAAGATTAACCCCTTAGGTTCCACAGTGAGTATAACAAGTATGCTTTACTGCATATACAGGCTGATTTGCTGTTGTGGGTTTAGTAACACTTTAAATTACAAAGTAAGAAGTGGTGACAGGGTCTCTTTAAAGGAGGTGTATGAAAGTTATTGTTGGTCTGCAGTTCCATTGTTCTAAGAGGAAGATATCCCTGGTACCCCTATTGTGTTCTTGCTCCTTGTGTATCCCTGTGAGGAACAAGGTGCTATGGACATTCACATCCAAAACCACTCCAGGGATGCTTTTTCTTGTGTTTAAAGGTGATCGCAGACCCAGGCATCAAAAAGTATATTTGGAATGGAAAAACAATGGATGTTCTCTTGTAAAAGTACAAAAAAAACTGAAGAAAAAAGGAAAAAGGTGAACTATGCGAACTTGATTGACTAGCCTGGATATATTAAAGGAGCTAGAGTGTGTTTAAGATTACACCTCTTATTCAACCACCTGACCTTAACCCTTTGCAACTAAATGGCTGCATGGCGCCTTCACTAGGGCACACAAAGCCTCTGCTCCTTCTGTCATTTAGCATTGGCTAAGAGCCAACTGGAGCAATTCTGTGGCATATAATCACTGGTGGTCAAACAGAGCTATCACCAACGTAACAGTGTAGTACTGTTTATGGTGATGAGCCCTCCCTTTCCTTCCACAACAGAGGAAGGGGAGAAGGAGGATATAAGTGAATTCATGAATTCATTAAATCTCCTTGGCAGTAGCAGGGGAAGGAATAATCGTAGGTTGGATGATGGTTGGGGGTCAAAGTGCAACTAACCACCAAGGGTTGTGGGATGCTTGTGGGGGTGATAGAAGTGTAAAGGGCCATGGACCACCAATGTTGTTGAATTTTTTTTTTTTTTTTGAAGGGGGGGGGGGGGGTTAAAATGCCATTGACTACCAATGATTATGGTTCTGTTTTGAGGGTGGAGTTAAAGTCCCACTTGCCAACAATAATTTTAGGATAATTTTGGGGGTGGTTTAAAGTGTTTTGAAGTTATCATTGACTTCTAGCCATTGCACACAATGTGATTTCAGTGGAATGCATTTCATCCCCCAGGAATATTTCTTCCGTTAATAACAGTTGACTTGCACTTGGCTTCAGTGGGTGACGTTTATAGACTATATGCACTTTGTTTAATTTTTTAACTATTACAGTATTACCATGTTTTTCATTTCCAAAATATTGTAGCAACAAATGAGATCACCTTGGGGTGTCAACTTGTGTTTATGTTTTATACTCGAAAGTAAAGGTTTTTTTTTTTAAAATGTTAACTCTTTTGTACTTTACATATTAAAGCAGAACTACACTGCATCTGAGCACCAAAAACGCTGTTTATTTAATTTTTGTTATTCAAAGCAAACTCATCATCATCCATGTCTCCATGCTTAATTTTACTGAGAAATCACTTTGAAAAACTCCACCTAGCATTTCTGGCTGCAGCCATCTTGCATAAGGGCAGATGATTAATATAGCATTTACTTCCTGGAATCTATCTGACCTTAGCTCAGGTAGAAGGGTGTGCTTAGCTCAGCAAACACCTCCTTCCCTCCTGAAGACTTCTGCGATGTATGACATCAGTTGCCTAGGCGAGGAAACCAGAAAGTAACTGTAGATATGTCAAAAAAAGTTTAAAACAAGTAAATATGATATACTTTCCTATCTATTTACTAATGCTAGCAGCATAAGGATTACAAATAATTTATGTTGATTGGGAAAGTGAAGTTCCACATTAAAATAAAATTACACCAACAGAAAGCACTATCTGTCTTAGAGAGAAAAATATATATAAAATGAATTTGGGTACAGTGTTGCATGATGGAGTAATTGTCAGTAAAACTATCACAGAACTGAAAACTGAAAAAGGTTGCAACATGCCGGTCCTGAAGTGATTAAAGTTTGTAAACCAATTTGTTTCTCGATTTTTATACCATGCTTGCAATATTAAGTACTTCTGTATGTGCATTCATATTTTATGTTTTAGTTGTTCAGGTTGGTTTTCCATGCCTTGGCAACCAAGATGGAGTGGCAGCATTTGAAGTTAATATTATTGTTATGAATTCAGAAGGCAATGTGATTCTTCAGACCCCACAAAATGCCATCTTTTTCAAGACTTGCCAGCAAGGTAGTGACATTTTACAGCTTTCCAGAACATCTGTATGAAATTGTAATATAGATATGTGTAGAAGCAGCTGACATAATAAATACACTGTTTATTTACTGTACAAGTATCTTATGAAACTTATAAGGCATAATAATTGACAAGTGTCAATTTGTTTGAGTGTCTTTTGTATCAGTACACATTCTCACTATGCTCCAAAGAAACTTTCTGTGCCATTGACAAATTTAAAGCTGAAGGTCTGTCTACCTACCTTTATACCTACCTTTATATTTCAATTGGAAACTAATGCCGGCCATAGAGGGAACAATTTTCTTTTCTGCAACCACAGATATTGCTTTATTCCCCCATCAACTCTCCCTCCCATGGAGCCATTGTGTTCTCCCGGAATGGGGGAGCAATCCCTGCCGGGAGAACACAGTGATTACTGCTAACGGCTATAATAGCCGCTAGCAATAATCGCATGTAAAATCCGACAAGCTGGTTGTATCCAAGTTTAGGTACATTCAGCCTGCCCATACATGGTTCAAATCTTAGCCAGTCCCTGCTGAACCAGCTGAGATTCAAACCGTCTATGCCTGTCTTAAGTGAATTAAATCTCCCTCTGGTATTGTTACCCCTCAAGGGCTCCACACAAAATTCATAGTATTGACAAACATGAGGTCCCTCATTCTTCCTGCTGTAGCAGCACAGAAGTGAAGTTATCCTTACTTGATTTCATATACAACACAAATACAACTGGTACATGAAATTACCTTGAAATAACTGTAATAGATGGGTAGATCTGGGATCTTCTATAGGCTTTTTTGGGTGGGCTTTGAGTGTGGGCAAGGACACAGGGGCCCCATGATCCCCTATTGCCCGAGGGCCCCATGAGTTGTCAATCCGCCCCTGGTGGCATCTCTATAAATCTTATGTGACAATTGTACTTGAAATAGTTATTAACTTGGAAAGAACAGGGACAACATTTGCTATAGAGGTGTACTGAAATAAAGCTAGTTTCAGTACTAGCTTCAAGAATATATGGAAACTATTTTAGCCCTTATTTACTGCTTGTTTGCAGTATGACAATTAGGTATTTATTGGAACTTTGTAATTGCAGCATAACTGTCAAAAAAATACTCACCAGGGAGGTCTTTAAATGTGCAAAAAACTGAGATGTGGCTGATTGTTTGGTAACATCTCCAATTTTTGTTTTCTCTTTTTTTGTCTTTAAATACAAGACCATTAATATTAGAACCTAGGATGCTGGAATCTATCCTGTGCATACCGTCACCATATAACTGCATCTGCTGTGGCCTTCATAATCCATATGGTCAGGTGCAGCACTGTACAGATGATTGTTTTTATTATAGATATTAGACATTATTTGACCCAGATACTTAATGGTTGGGTTTATTTAATTCTGCTTATATATAGCCAGAGGTGGCTCTAGGCTTTGTGAGACCTTAGGCAAAACTCAGACATGAGACCCCACTCATACCCGTAATGGGAAAAAATTGCACTGTACAGTGTATAATGAACTGATGGCAATTCGCTCATGGCCAGTTCTCAAGGATTCCAGCATGTCATTGGATCACATCAAGATAAGCACTGCAACACAAGCTCCCTCTGTTATGTTAAGGTCTCAGTTATGCCTACCTTTTACATTACCTAACAAAGGCCAAAGATCCATCATCAATTTTCGTAAACCTATGCCCTATACCTGCTGTGGACAATGGTCAGTGAACTTGAATACAGAACAGCACCTGGTGCGGAATTTCTTTGTACTGCAGTGACAGGAAAAGGCAAACCAGTATATAGAAAAATGAAAGAATTGCCAGTATCCTCCTGCTTGCTCCTGCCAAGCTTCAGAATCATGTAGTGTGGTCAGAGTAACAGTGTATGAATGCATTATTCATCATGGCCCATACCTAGGCTGTAAATGTACACCAATCATCATCCACAGCCATATATCATTTGTAGTCATCAGACAGTTAAACAATGCAGGATAGATCCTTTACTATGCTATGACATCCATGAAAGCAGTACTGCATCGCAGTAATTGAACCTACACTCCATTGTAACCGACACAGCCACCACCATTCATCTGCATGAGCTAATCATCTTTTTAATGTGTTGGGTCAGACATTAGAAGTTGCAGGACCAGGGATGATCTCCCAAGTGCAGCCTCTACACACATCCTATGATCCAAGTTATAGCAATGCAAAGCACCATGCAGACTATACATGTAGTATGTGAAGTGGAGCACTATAGAGCACTCCAGAGGTAGGCCAGCATGCATGGTACTCCCAAAATGTACTTTAGGATCCATAAGGAAGGGACAGATATATGAGGAAGGAGGACCATGGCTGCTCCCAATGCACATGGTAACTTCATCCTATGATCCCAATGAGCCCTATGTAATGTACCATGCAGACTACACCTGTAGCACGCACTGTACATGATCCAAGGCCAGCCTGCATGGTACCCCCAGGAACAGAGAAGCCCACAGTGTGCATGGTAGCCCCTACACACATCCTATGATCCCCATGAAAGGCACCATGCAACCAACACATGTAGCATATAAATTGGAGCATGCACTGTGGAAGATTCAGGGAAAGGCCAACATGCATGGTTCCCCTAGGAACTGAGAAGCTCCCCCATAAGCATGGTAGCATGGTAGCCTGGTAGCCTCTACACACATCATCCGATCCCAATGAGCCCCATGCAATGCACCATGTAGACTACAAATGTAGCATGTGAATTGGAGAATGAAGTGTAGAGGATCCAATGGAAGGCCAGCCTGCATGGTCCCCCTAGGATCAGAGATTCCCCACCATGTACATGTAGCATGTGAATTAGAGTATACAGTGTAGGTGATCCAGGGAAAGCACGGTTCCCCCAGGAACAAAGAAGCCCCCCAGACTCACCACAGCCTCCTCTTATAAGGTAGAATGATCCCCTTGTTGGAAGGAGTCACTCCGAAGGCCATCTGCAGCACTGTCAGGTATCTCTGGCATTTCATTTTGTCTTCCCCCTTGGTTCTCCCCTCTGATGCCCCCCCCCACAAAGCTCTGCATGCGATCATGAAATTGGTCTTCTCAGGCATGTGCCCTGCAAGCTCTCCCGGATCATCCTTCCCTCTCTTGGAATGTGCTCTGCTCTCCCCTGGACATGTCTTGTCAGCAGATCATTATTTGTGAGCAGCTCATAGAGATAACTTTGATAGCTTGAGGTGACAACCATCCTTCTTCCTGATGCCGGGCTGTTCCCTGTCTCCGTTAGGCAATTTAGGTGGCCGCAAAGCCCCTGAGAGAGCAAGGCCTTAGGCGACTGCCTACTTTGCCTAATTAAAGAGCTGCCTCTGTATATAGCCAAAAACAATATTAAAAGTCCACTCTATGGGCCATTTGGTAATTCTGATTTACTGTTTTCACACCTGATTTGACATTTTTTATTCTACTGGCTTTTTCTCTCATTTTGTTTTAAACATTATGTGTTCCCAACGGCACATAACTTCCCCCTCTGTCTTCATTAGTTAGAGAACAGTGTGGGGTGGAAGACCCCAATGGCCAGACAGTAGTTGGAGAGGGGGATGTCATTATTTTGGGGATTCTCCTGTTTAAAAAACACCTACTAAGTTCTGTTGGTATAAGCATGACAGAAAACCTATATATTAGTACTTTATCTAGGGGGAATGAGATGCCATCTTATATGCCTTATGTGTCAGTCTGGTACTGTTTGCTAGAATCAAATGTTATACAAAATTGATAGGTGTACTTTATGAGGTCATGTACACAGATATCCACTGGTAGTGAACCTAAAATCTTTTCCCACATCTCTAAATTGCTACCTACAACTCAAGCTCATAACAAATCACGTGTGCTTGGACTTATGTTCAGCCATCAACTGGACAATGTAACAGTGGTGTATTTAGGTTTTGTGCTGCCCTAGGCAACACAAAAATTGGCGCCACCCGCAGAGAGAGCCTGACATTGACCAACAACACCCTTGACTCCCATTCGACAGAGCCTTCCACTACCACTGCCCTCCATACACCAGCCACCATCCCCCATGGCGAGAGAGAGAAAAACACTCACCTTCACAGCTCGGGACATCCCCAGGAACGAGAGTCGGGCTGTGCATACACCATCATGAAACCCACAACCTCTCTCGGAACTCACCAGGTTCCCATGCAGTGTTTGTCCTTTCTTCTGTCCCTTCTTCCAAGCGGCAGTGCTGCCCCCCTGAAAAATGCTGCCCTAGGCAAATGCCTTGTTTGCCTTGTGGTAAATACACCCCTGCATTATAACACTGTCTTTTTTTCCAGCTAAGTGCCCAGGAGGATGTAGAAATGGAGGTTACTGTAATGAGAGACATGTCTGTGAATGTCCAGATGGGTTTTACGGACCACACTGTGAGAAAGGTAAAACAATGTTTTCTTTTGTCAAACCTTAAAAGTAAAAACCATGTTTTCTTTGGTCAAACCATAAAAATGAACTATACAATCAAGCTATAAAATTTACAAACTACAGAATATTAATTAGGACTGTGGAAGCTGACCCCAAAGAAAGTCATGTGGAGGGCCAGGTACTAGTCCACATAATTACCTTTAGGATCCCTGCAGCTGATCTTCTTCCCAGACTAATGCCATGCCTCATTCGTAGTCTGTCTCTTTATGAATGTGTCAGACCAGCCATGCCTAAGACTGTTGATCTGAAAACCTGTGTAATAAGGATCAAGAAGCAGCAGGAAAAGTGGAGAAAGCATGAATCTACAGATTGAAGGAAGCACGGAGATGCTTCTATGTAGGTTCCCAGACACAGCTTCCTCTCCAGCAAGTCATCAGAAGAACAGTGAGCAGCAAACTAATATTACCAATTGCTAGTCTAAATCCCATGAGAACATCTTCACTTTTTAGTATAGGTCCACTTGTGTTCTTCAAAAACCTGAAGTTATGAAAGGAGAGCAGTGTAGTTATCACTATGGATTGCCGAGAAAGGAGTGTAGGTATGATTCTGTTTTTTCCAGAATGTAAAATTAATTATGGTGACAAAGATTTTACACTTTGTTGAGTTAGGGTATTATTTATTATGAATAATACCAATTTAAGCAACAATAAGTCCTGTTAAATTGTGTCAACTATTTTAGTTTAGCCTACGTTAGTTTTGTGCACACATTGTACAATATTTTTATAAATGTTTGTGATATGTGTTTACCGTCTAGTAGTTCCTGGTTTTAAGTTTGACATTTCTAGCTGAATTTATTTAGTTCTATGTGGTTTGAACTTGTTTTGGGAAATGAGTACAGTCTGAAAGTTTCACTCCTGTTTTGTATTTAGCATTTGCAAAAAATAAGGCAAGCTAAGTATGTGCTAGCCCTGAAGCATTCTTTTTATAGTACTGCCAGTGTGTTTAGGGAATGAGCCTGTGCTTCCATGTGGTCTGACCAATGTGATTTATCAGTGACCGTACAATAATATGAGGCTGCTTAGCCAGGGAGACCAGGAGTTATGATTATCCTTGCAGAAATAATTCCTTACCTTTCCTGTAACTGTAGGACATTCCACTGCTGATTTGTATATTATTGATTCTTTGTAGAGACAAACTGGAATAAATAAAAGATGGCCCAGATGGCATACATTAAACACCAACATTAACATGAATGGCCCATAGCATACTGATACCTGAAGTTTCTCACAGGCCTACTACAAATCACGGAAAGAGTATATAACCAGTATAATACCACAGATACCTCCAAATGGATCACAAAATCAAATCATTAAATATAATAACAGAATGATTTGACTTTTGATTTTCTAAATGCTGTACCTTATTTATTCCTTGTATTCAAAACCCAAAGCTGTCATTGTTGGTATTATAAAAATTCCACTTATTACAGCTCAACCAAGAATACATTTAGACACCTGGTTCTGCTAAATAAGGGGTGCAATAAAATACTTTTCTTCTGAGTAAAGTGACTCAGTACACCCAGTCAGGTACAACTATAGAAAGGCTGTAACACATTGATGCTCACATTCCCTAAATATGACATGCAGGTCTACAAGTATGTTGAGTTATTGTTAAACTGACCATGCTTATAACGACAGTGTATTAATTTCTTGTCTCTGTATAATTTTGTTATAGCTCTCTGCATGCCACGGTGCTTAAATGGTGGGCTTTGTGTAACTCCAGGACTATGTATCTGTCCACCGGGTTATTATGGCATCAGCTGTGATAAAGGTACGTGAATTAAATATAATAAATATGTGCAGTAGTGTAAATATTGTAAAAAAAAAAAAAATCTGCTACCATAAATCATCTGCGTAAATTATGTTTTATTTGAAACCTTTAGGGGGTTTGTCTCACTTTCAGGATGTTATCCACAGGGTAACCAGCCCTTGGACAAAGGACATGATATACTAAGTGAGAGCTTCAAAGGCTAAACTCTACTTAGATTTGAAACTTGAAGTACAGTATTTCTAAAGTCTAAACTGAAATAAAGCTTAATTTTTTTCTAAAATAACAAAAGTCATACTTACCTGCGGTGTGCTGTGATTTTGCACAGATCAGCCCTGATCCTCTTCTTTTCGAGTCCCCGCCGCTGCTCCTGGCTCCTCCCCCTTGAGCAGTGCCCCCAAGGAAATCTGCTCGCCCTGGGGGCACTGCTGTGTGCTCGTCCCCAAGCTGCTGCTTTATGTGTCGATAAGACACATAGGGGTTTATTTACTAAAGCTGGAGAGTCCAAAATCAGACTCCCTTCTGCATAGAAACCAATCAGCTTCCAGGTTTCATTGCCAAAGCTTCATTGAACAAGCTGAGGTTAGAAGCTGATTGGTTTCTATGCAGAAGGGAGTCTGATTTTGGACTCTCCAGCTTTAGTAAATAAACCCCATAGAGCCACGGCTCTGCCCCATCTCCCACTGCTGTCTCAGCCAATGAAGAGTCCCCAGACAACAGAGGCTGTCAAGAACATCGCTGGAAAGAAGGGGGCTTAGGTAGGTAAAGATTGGGGGGGGGGGCACTGCACAGAGAAGGTTTTTTACCTTCATGCATAGAATACATGAAGATAAAAAACCTCCAGCCTTTAGAACCACTTTAAAACTGCTGTCAGTTTTTGCCATCTGTTCATTTCCTGTCCTATAGACTCAACAGAAAGTGAGAGTCCGTTATATAGGAACAAGTATCTCCAGTGGAAGATTTCCCCTCTATTCCTGTTCTGGTGACAACTAAGAATGTTATATTTACCCTCATTTGTATTCCCAGTGACATTAAGGTGTTTGTTACCCCAGCATTTCATATTCCTGATACAGTATGTTTCTGTTGTACCATGTACTTGTGTTAAAAAGTTACCTGTTCTCTTTGTATTTCTTTCTTTGTCTTAAATACCTGGTGATCCTGCCAGTACTCTTGTCTCAAACGGACCATGCTAGGCATAGAAGCATATCCTTCTCAGCATGGTTAGTTTTCTGGCTGCAGAAGAGAACAGAGGTTATGTGGTAACTTATAAAAAGAAATGGAAAAAAAAAAAGAATTAATTATATATACAGTATATATATACAGTACATATATGGTCTTGCATTTTTCTTTTAAACTGAATGGGTTGTTTTACATATATTCTAGCCACTTTTCTACAAGGCAATATAAATTTTTTTTTTTGGTTAGAAATTACTGTAAATCTCCCCAAAAATATATATTTTCTGAAAATAGGAGACGTCGCCTATTAGTCTTCTCTCCCTCTACTGAGATATTGATGTTATGCTGCACCACTCTCTTCCAGCAAGGAAGGAGCTAAAGCCAAACAAGCCCATAGACTTCTATGCAGAGCACTGAGAATCCTGGGAGTTGTAGTCTGAGAGAGCAGCCATATAATGGAATGAAAAGGCTCTTTACTCTACAGATGATCCCAATAGCCAGTGTGCAATAGGAGGAGTGGAGAGATGATTTTTATTAAATTGCCCAGGAGACTGGGGGCAGTGCAGCACCACCCACATCACAGCACCAACAACACACTGCTGCAGGGAGACTGGAGTGTCCATCACCCTCTGCTTCCCACCACTGATCACTGGAGGCTTTTGGGCAGAGACCAAAGGGACACCCCCTTCTACAGCGAGATGTCACCGCAGCAGTATGCCAGGGACTGGTGAGATTACTGATAGTGCTAGCAGGGAATGAACCACTGAGAGCACACAAAGTGTACCCAATCCATACAACACCCATACTTCACTCTGTACCACACTTATTCCAAACCTAGACTGCACCTATACCAACCCTATATCGCATTATACCTAACCTTTACCACATCTGAACCACATCAACCTTGCACCTGTGTCAGGACTTTTCTGTTTCTATACTATACCTATGCTACATGCAGGTTAACTGGGACTGCCGTTAAGTGCACCAACGCTCTTAAAGGGCCTCAACAATAGTCGGCAGAAGAACAGCTCAAAGGACTGCCCCTCCCATTAACATTATTCTGCAAGCCCTCTTTGTTTCCCTGCCCTCTCCACTACCATCCTCCTTTTTCTTTTGGACAGTGCATACCCTGTCAGTCTAGGACTAGAATCACCACCATAAATGTGCTCTAGCAGTATAATTCCACCTAATTGGTAGATTAAACTTTACTACTGTGCATTGCTGCACTTTGGTCTTGCTGTTGTTTATGCTCATCTGGAAGCCAATTGTCATCCTATGCCTAGTCTCCACCATTAATGAATTTGTATGCTAAATGTTGTGATTACCATTGTTAATCCATTATATGCATGTCTAGTTACTAACCATTTTGGGTGACAATATATTACGTTTTCCTTTACTGCCTGGTTTGATGCCTGTCTTCTATCATATAGCACTACTACTGGGTACTAAGTATTATTTTCAGTGAAGTCCTGTGATATTTTATGTTTTTACACTCAACCTGGTGTGTCAGAGGGGCTGAGGTTCTTGAGAAGGTCGAGGCAAAGAACAGAGGACCCATCCTATCCAGGGGCTCCTATGGGGGTAGCGACACAACAACAATATAGTGCTAATATACAGAATGTTTATCATACTATTATAGTAGTCACATTATAGCAAAACATAAGGCATATATTAGTGTTAATTAAAAAAGAAGTGGGAGTTTATAAAAAAAAAAAAACATACATATTCACTCCTATGATGCAGCATCAGTGTGATGTTGTAGCTGTCTTCTGCAAGCTCCAAGCCAAGAAATGGGAGATTACACGACCCCTAATCACTGAGCTTTCCGTCTTCTTGGAGTGCAGAGCATTGACTGTCAGTCACCACTCTCTGCACTGCCCCTTCAGTGCTCACTAGAGCTGGCGAGTGGGCAGGCACAGCTGGCTATGTTCCTGAGAACAGCACCCAGCTGTCAAACAGGCAGCTGGGTGGATCCTTTCAATATGGTTGGGATCCTTCCAGAAGCTAGAGCTGCACTGTGACATCAGTTTATAGTGGGCAATAGACCGCTATAAGCTGAATCTGGGTCACAGGAGAGCAAAAGTAAGTTCACTCCTGTGACCCAGAAGAAAAGTATGGTAAAAAAAAAAGCTTTGGCCATACTTTCTTTTAATCTAACTATCATACATTGACAGAGGCTGTTGCACATGTTTTTTTTTATTGTGATATTAAGAAATTCATATTCATATAACTATATTTAAGCCAATGGTAATTTAACTGTTCTAGTAAAATTACTAAAGTGTGGATACTTTTTTAGAAAATTGCAAATTATTTTCTTTTTGCAGCTAATTGTTCGGCCATCTGTCTGAATGGAGGAACCTGCTTTTACCCGGATAAATGTATCTGCCCGTCAGGTTATGAAGGAGATCAGTGTGAAATAAGTAAGTGGCATATCACAGCCATTTTACACTGTAAAGCAGAGATCATGTGACCCTTGTCTGTGTTAGGTTAAAATGTTGTAAAAAAAAAAAAAAAAAAGCAACTTAAAAGCTGCTTTTATTTATGTCAAGATCAAAGAATTTTCTGAGGCTTGGCATCAAAGGTTTTCACACATGCCACTGTAACAGGGTGATATTTGAAGCTGAAAGAGATGTGTTCACGTTTTCCAATCAGCTAGAATTCAAATAATCCAGTTCATATTTAGCCCAACCTGTAGGAACATGTGTATGTGCCATATATACAATCGGAGCAGTTTGTATATCCTTTCTTGCAGGAATTTTGAAAAAAAAATATACAAGAAGAAATTCTCAAACCAAAATTTAAAGAAAAATAGTACTAGTGATGGAGTTCTACCTTAACTGTCTATAATATGCAATCAATCTTTCTATCTCTCCAATAAGACTTTTTAGGCAAGAATTTAACACTACTTATCTTTAAAAGGTAAAAGGATATATTTCTACATCGTAAAACACATAACTTTAAAGAACATCTATAAGGAGAGGCACAATGTAATAAGTAGTTGCAAGTAAACAAAACATTTTCAGCAAGACCTATGTAAGTTGCCATTGCCGACCTTCTGAAAAGAAACGTGACTGTTATGTTGACACCTGGCTTCAGTTGTTTCTAATTCTCAGAGTAGGAACAGGTTTGCAGTAAGAAAAGCCAGAACTTATCTGACAGCCAGACTACTACCATTTTTCTAAGAAGGTCAGCAAGGCACCTTCAATATTTCTCTCATGGTGGATTTCCTTTAAAAAAAGTATAGTGTAAAACAAAGTCCAAAACAAGTATCTTGTGTAATGAGCTCACTAGGGAATCCTTATGCCTGGTACATGCATTCAGATTTATTTCATTCGACCCAGTGGGCTGAACAAAAACAAAACGTACTAGAGAGATCACCGTACTAAATAAGTGATGTTAGTACAGCAATCTCTTCCGCTGCGCCTTTGTATTCTAGCAGGGGGACTCCCCACACCCCAGACAGAACATACTATCCAGTGCTTGCAGCCATTATCTGTGAGCGCTGATCAAATGCTGGTTTGTTACCCCAGCATTTTATTTTACTGATACAGTATGTTTCTGTTGTACCATGTACTTGTGTTAAAAAGTTACCTGTTCTCTTTGTATTTCTTTCTTTGTCTTAAATACCTGGTGACCCTGCCAGTACCCCTGTTTCAAACTGACCATGCAAGGTATAGAAGCAAATCCTCCTCAGCATGGTTAGTTTTCTGGCTGTGCTGGGAGCACAGTCCACCTGTCCTCCAATGGCCAAGACCTGGGCTGACATTCCGTCATATCCCTTCAAAAAAAGCCAGTCCTTAAACCATCTTCTGTCAGAAGGACAGCTGTACACATGGTTAAAGTGTTTGGACTATGCATACCCGGCTTAAGTGTCACAGGTCTCTTTAGAGGAGCTTGTCCAATCCTCCATGGTATTTTTTTAGATCCACTAAAGAGAGTCCATGGATGAGCACAGAGTGCTCCATATTACACAGTAGCCTGTCACTGAAGTTATTCCTGAGCAAACTTTCAAACCATACATTTGCATTAGAATGCATTTTGCTTAAACCCTTGACAGCCTTCTATACCCGATGCAGAACACCAGTCAAATCATCATTGCATATTGGGGCAGATATCCTCCTTCTAATCTAGGGGAGGCCTCCAGATTTCTCTTCATCCGAAGTGGCTGCAGACTGGGAACACACTAAAGGCTCCCCTGCACATCACCTCCAAAGAGACGTAGTTTCATTAAATACACTTGACATGTTTTAACTTAGCAAGAAAATAACAGAAATATAATAAACAGACTTAAGCACCAAAGTTTTACTAGATAGAATCATTTTGTTTAGTAGTTCCAAAGATTGATGTCCATTTAAAATGAAAAAATTGTACTGTTGTGGGCTTCCTTAGGTAAATGTCAACAACCATGCAGAAATGGAGGCAAATGTAGTGGAAAGAATAAATGCAAATGTTCTAAGGGCTACCAAGGAGATCTGTGCTCAAAGCGTAAGTATAGATTCTTAATTGCTTAACATTTATTCTGAAACACTGTAATTTCTGTTTGCTGTTTTGTTCCTCTGCTATCAGCATGAATCGCTTCTGACAAGTTTTCCTGACACCAAGAGAAAAGTGTTGACAGGGGAGGGATCTCCAGCAGATTGACAGCCTCCACTAAACATTCTTAAATCATGTTTGCTAGCATATATGCTGTATGGATTTTAGCTTCCTATGCCATTTTGATATTAAAATTTTGTTGAACTGGTTCTGCAAGATAGCACATAGCTTTTCAACCCTGTTCTAAGATGCTCGTGTTCTGGATTTTCTCTCACTAGCATGTATTACATTGCTAATTAAACTAACTAGATTTGCATAGAGCTAGCATAAGGTGAGGCATAAGGACATGTTTGAGATCACAATTTTCAGAGGACTTTTCTCAAGTTATAAAAAGCTTTTTTTAGGTAACATGGAGAATGGTTAAGACATTTGATAAGTTCGAATTGCTGTGTACCTGTTAAGGAAAATTTAGTGTGAGATTTTAAATGCTGTTTGTTTCCCCAAAACAGGGATTTGTCTTATCATCCTGTACTTTCAAACACCTGTCAAATAGACAGAAAATGGGGTGATTTTTCAACATTTCCTATTTTGTCTGACATCCTTTGACAGGAAGTCAAACAGGACAGACAGCATTTAAAAGTTCACAGTGGATCTAAGCCTTCTACACTCTATCCAAAGCTAAAAACAAAGTTTTAACTGGTACTGACTTTCAAGCTACCGATATTTTGGTGTGAAAGTCAAGTTTCTGACCTCCTGTCTGCTTTGAACAAGTGGAAATTGGTAGATATAAAATCCATGGAATTTGTTTTTGATGAGAATTTTTATTACATTTGTGTACTGGATTGGAGCATACTTTTGTTCTGAGTTGACAAGTCACTGTATTGTATAATATTTGGAGGTTATTCATTTATGAGTGTAGCTGCCTCACTATTTTGCAACTAGATTCTGGAATGAAAGAGTGTTATTTTTTATTAGCTGTTGTGAAATGTCTTTGGAATAAATAATGTTATTATTCCATTGGATTGTTAACTAAGATATAAGCCTATTTCTTACCTCTATAGCTGTGTGTGAACCCTCCTGTGGATCACATGGAACCTGCATTGAACCAAACAAATGCCAATGTAAGGATGGGTGGAATGGCAGATACTGTAATAAACGTAAGTTTTTAACATATTTACCGAGTCCTAATCTTCTGTTTTCTTTTTGAGGGCTCATTCACACCATTTGCATGTATCAGCACAAGCTCAAAACAAGAGCACATAGAAAACAATTAATTTCAGTGTGTCCTGTTCAATGCTCTGTTGAGGTGGGTTGCCTAAAAATGCATAACTGCCTCTATACAATTGACTGCAGACTGCACATGTTTTAGCATGCAAGCTGGTGTGATCGATCTCTTACGTCAACAATTCATTTTTTATGTTAACTCAAGTAATGATAACCAGTGAATACACATCTTGATTCTATAGTGCCACTATTTTCTTATAAAGAACATTATCCATCTTTTTTTAGTTAGGATGCACCTTACCGCTAACCATTATTGTGTGTTTTTTACTGAGGCTATGGTACACAAATGAAATGGGATATTAAACACTAACTCAAATATTTTTTAGTATTGCATAGGGTGTACAACTAAAGGAACCTTTGTTGCCGTGTCTCCATTTCAAACATTTTTCATTGCTTCCTGTCTGTTTCATGGGTTTTACAAATTTGGGTAGTGAGGGGGAAATCTTTTGAATTCCTATCTATTTGATGGATGTCAGAAAGACATGAGGGAAAGGCAGACAACAGTATAAACCAGTGTTTCTCAACCTTTTTTCAGTCAAGGCACCATTTAAAATTATGGACAGTCCCCAAGCACCCTTTAAAATTATGGACAGTCTTAAGGCACCCCGTAATTTGAAAAGAGCACCCCATTCTAAAATATAAAAAACTATTCTAAAAGTTGTATATAACACAGCAACATCCACACATGTAGGACACCCAACATTGGAGGTGATTTATTCTTCCAAAGCAAATACACTTTTGCACACTGGTACTGAGTAGTATTCCAATGTTTCTCTTCTCCCTCACTCTCCATCACTGAGCTAATGTTGCCCCAGCACTGATGGAAAGGGGCAAAGGAGGGTCAAACTAGGATGCTGTGCAGGCTGCTGACATCCTCCTTATCAACTGGTGATGTCATTGGTTGTCAGGACACTGGTGGCTAGAAGGTTGTAATGGTGCACAATAAAAACCTGTAGCTTTGTTTAAATAAAAAGCAGGCCTTTTCCACCTGCTGGCTTGTATACAAGTTATGGGCAATTTTAAGACATTTTGCTAAGGCAACCCTGAAGAATCCTCAAGGCACAGGCACCCTGGTTGGGAAAGCCTGGCATAAACCAACATTATACCAGGGAGGTTCAGAATTTCTGTCAGAATTTTCTGACACCTATGAAGAATTTTATTGCTGAATGTAGACTGTTAGATATATGAATGGCTCAATGTATACAGCAAAAAAGAGAAAAAGGGGTAATGGGTTCCCCCTATTACAGTTTGAGTGAATACATCATATACTAAAATAGAGATATATGGTAGAAGAGAAGAGGAAAACTAAAGTAAGGAAAAATCATGTACCGAATACATGATTCGAATACATGTACTGAAGACATTTACTCTAATTACATATTGAATGAAAACCCTAGAAGAGTACAACAAATAGGAGAAAGAGTATTAAGCACAGAAAAATGGGCAAAAGAGAAGAGAGAAGCCACAAATGCCATTTACTGTAAGAAGGCCACAGAAATTGAAACAAGGAAGGGGGAGCATTCCCTTGCTTTAAAAGTTCTATAAGATGTGGGGTGTGTTGAGAGAGATTCCAGAGTTGCCAGATTCTGTCAGAATTTTATTGCTACCTGTGTTCCCATGAGGGAGATTTCCCCTCACTTCTTGTCCAGATGACAGGTGTCAGACAGAACAGGAGGAGAAGAGAAGTCTCTTCACTCGGGACACAGACAGCATATAAACCTTTGCCTGCTCTATCTACACCTAAAATAAATGTTTTGCCTTGAGTTGGGCTTTAATAACATGACCAGTACATTAATGGACACATTTATCTACATATGACCAGCTAAGCTAAGGCAACAGCCACATGTTAACATTCCTTGGTGAACCAATGGTAATTTATGCCTATTGAGATGTCATTTTCAAACTAACAGAACTTTGGGAACCCATTAGTTGTTTGTTTTATGTTATGCTGCACTTAGGTATTTTGCCCCTTAGTTGCCCTTTCCATGTTTTTGTCTTAGGATAAGCTTCAGGGTTCGTAAACATTTTACTTAATAGAAGATGCATTTTTATTTGTTTTCTTTTCATTTATGATTGAAAACAGCATGCCGTTTTCTCTATTTATAGAGTTATAGCTGATGTTGGCTGTAGTTAGGTTGGCAGCAATTTTACCTTATCACTTTGTACTGAGTAATCACAGTTTGTTTTCTAAATCTCACTAAGAGTAGGTACAAAGGGTACAAACAACGGTACAAGCTTTTCTCATGCATTAATAAGCCAGTGGCAATTATATTTCTTATGAGTATCAGTTTACTTTAAAAAAGCCATTGGTATTTATATTTATTTATCTGCTACATGCAGGGGCGGACTGACCATTTGGGAACTCGGGGACTGCCAGAAGGCCCGGGGTCAGTAGGGGGCCCCATGAGATGCCCCTGGTACCTTTCATAGGCTTTTTTGGGTGTGGTTTGAGTGTGGGTGAGGACACAGGGGCCACATGATCCCCTATTGCCCGGGGGCCCCATGAGTTGTCAGTCCGCCCCTGGCTACATGTCAGGTAATCCTATAAGAGTTTATTGTGTAACTGGCAGTCATGGGACTAAAAATTCAGGTACATGATCTTGATTTTGGTCCTGCCCAGCATCTTTAATTTAGGTAAATGTTGGTATTAAAGCAGAACTAAAAAAACAGTTACATTCCTGGCTGGGAATTAAAACTGCTACATTTGCTTGTGTTGTCAACCAAACTGTCAAATCATCAAATGGCTGGTGTCATAACTAATCAGATGCGCAACATCATGGCAGTTGCAGATCAAACCAAGGCTAAAATGGCTCAAATGTCCATTGTGAACACAACCAAAGTGGCAACATAGTGCAGAGTCAATGTTTTCAGCAAAAAAGACTGACTACCAAAATACCACTTTTATAGCAATTGTATTTAAAGCCAAGTATATTATTACTAATGTGTTATATCATTTTTATATCTGTAAATTCCTGAGGAAACACAGCAATCGAAAAACTAGGTTTTCATTAGTTGCCAGCCATAAACAAGAATGACTGGAATGCATGTATGTGTTTTTGTTTTACGACAGATGTTATCATCTGCTTTTTGCAATAGATATTACATGTGAGTGCAGTAGTAAATTTGAAATGATATATCTAGTTTGGGGTCTTGGTTTCCTAGGGGTGAGCTACCATAGCCATCTTTTTCCTCCATTTCTGCCCTACTTTCTGACAGGACAGAGGAATTCATGTAATCCAGTTGACTGCACTCTTTATCCAACCAGCTGTGAAATCAAGATCAATACAGACTTGTTGCCTATAGCAGCTTTTCTCAACCTTTTTACCCCAGAGGAACCCTTGAAATATTTTTAGGTTTAGAGAACCCTGCTAAAACTAATAATTGGTGATCAGTGGGAAAAACGCCCCTTACATTGATGGCCAGTGGAAGCAAGGTTCAGCTTGTCATAGCGGTCAACATGTCACACTATAAACAGCTAAAAAGATCATTGCTGTCCTGCCGCTAGCTCTGCCCAGAAATATACATGCACCATCAAATGGGAGGCTAATCAGTAATCCTTTAAAACATCTGGATGATACCCATGCCTATAGCTTGATTCCTTGTCTTCTTTCTCAAATTAGATTGGACCTCAAGTAGTAAAACCTGATTGGATGCCGTTGGCAACAACCATATTTTCCGTTATTCCAGTTTACCAGTTCAAAAAAGGCCACGAGGCTTAGGTGTGTGTATGGGAGGGTGGCGGGGGTGTACAAAAAAAGGATCTAGGAATCGCAGATTCCTTCCTCTAGCAGATCACTATCCTTTGAAAGCAATTTTCGGTCAAGACGAGTGATGCATGATACAAAATTTATTTTTTAACTAAAAAAATATATTTAGCAAAGTGCTATTCTAGCATTGCTGCCACTTTGTATATGTCTTGTTCTATCACACAGATCTTGTGATAAAGACTCCCTGTCTGTGAAATACCCATTTCCCAATGTCACTCAAAATATTCAAGAGTCAGGGTACTTTTACCTTTCAAAGTTCAGCATGACAGGAGCCAGACCACCACAGAAGTTTAAACTGGCATAGACGTTTTGGCTTATGTCCAATGCAAGCTTTTAATCTGATGATGCTGGCAGATAATGATAGGTACTATTATAGAGTGTGACGGGACTTCAAACAGATCTGTGCTTATGCATTCATGCACTGTGCAGAACTGTTTACCAAATCTGTAAGTATGCTGAACAAACAGTGACATAGAGTATGAGACATAATATACACACACAGCAATAACTTAACAAGGGTTCTACTCTAAAAGAGCCAAAAAGGTAACTGTGCTGTAAAAAGTTTCATTTCAAGTGCTGGAGAAGTCATTCCCAGAAGCACACTAAAAAATCTTTAAGTGAAGGATTCTTGGGCAAGAAAAAGTATTGAATAATGTTTCATTTTCGTCTAATAGTCCAGATATATGTCAAAGCTCTTCAATTAATCACTTAAAACATTCTAGAGCAGGAGTCTCCAAACTGCGGCCCGAAAGCCAGATGTGGCCCTTTGTAGCCTTTATCCGGCCCTTGGGGCACTATACCTCCCAATGATATGAAGCAGTATTCCTCTGACACCAACAATGGGGTACTATTTCTTCCACTGATAACACTTATGTGGTACAATTCCTCCCAACAATACCAATGATGGGGCACTACTCTTCCTTCCCTGAGACCATGTTTATTCTCACTGATGCTGGGCCCGGAACATTTTCTACCCCCACTGGTCATACTCCGGCCCTCTGAAAGTCTGAAGGACCATAAACCGGCCCTTTGTTTGAAAAGTTTGTAGACCCATGCCCTGTTCTAGAGGATATAATTGCTTTCTGTTAGTAACAATGCACAGAAAT